CGACCATGTCCCGACCACGCCCCGACCACGTCTGACACCGCCAGCCTCCTGAGTCTCTGGGCAGAAGTTGTTGGGGTCCCCACTCGACAAAAACCTCGCCGGGCCCCCCCCCGCCTCGACCACGCCTCGACCACGTCTGACACCGCCAGCCTCCTGCGTCTGTGGTAAAAGTTTTTGGGGCCTCATTCTCGTCAAAAATCTCGCCAAGAACCCCCCCACCTCGACCACGCACCGACCACGCCCCGACCACGCCCCGACCACGTCTCACACCGCCAGCCTCCTGAATCTCCTGGCATCGATTTTTGGAGCCCCCCACTCTGGGACCCCCCCCCCTTGCGTCGACCACGCCCCGACCACGTCTGACACCGCCAGCCTCCTGAGTCTCTGGGCATGGGTTTTTTTGGGGGCCCCCACTCGAATAAAATCGCCGGGACCCCCGTCCCCGCCTCGTGAAGAGGGCCCCACAAGCCTCCCAAGAATCCCACGCGAGTCCCAGGACGACTCCAAAAGCGGATACCACCCTCCAAACTCCTCGGCCCCCCAGACTTTTCCAGGCGCCACCCCGAGCGACTCCCTGGGGCGAGCCTCGGCAACTGATGGCGATAAGCCTCCCGGAGGCCTAACAAAAGTACAATGGAGGTCACATATATGGATGACCATGAAGGATGCGAGCTCCAAAGGATGGCAATCAGCATCAACATCATCACCGTCATGAGCAGCATAACAGTCATAATCATCAACATCGTCATCACCAGGATCGTCATCATCACCATGATGATCATCAACGTCGCCATCGTCACGCGAGCGCTCTCTGGCGTGACATAACCTGCGTTGGTGTTGGAGCTCTCGCAGAGCCGTCCTTGGCCACGCGGGCCCTTAGTGCTCTTCGAGGCATCTTCGGGCGTCTGGGAAGCAACTTTGGGCCGCGTGGAAGCCGCCTGGGGCGTGCTGCACGCCGCTGCCGGCAGTTGGGGGCGCTCTTGGAGCCTGTCGGGGGCTCTGTAGGCTATCTTGGTCCGCCTCAGGGCCGTTTCGGACGCCCCACGGGCGCTTCGAGAGCCGACTTCGGGCCACTGGGAGCTCCATTGGCACCCTCTGGGGGACGTCTGAGGCAGTCCTGGGACGGACGACCTTGGGGGACTTGTGGGCCGTCTGAGAACGTGGAGTGAGCCTGACCGTCAGCGAGTTGGACGACCGCGCTCGGCACAGGGCTTGTCCACGGCCTGAATCATGGAAACGACAGGGGATACGGTCGGACGACAGCTGACAACCTCCGAGAACTCCTGGGAAACCAGCGTTGACCTCTCATGGGGTCTCCCGCTGTACCTCCGCCAATTTCCGCCGAACTTCCAGCAGCCGCACCGTCCTCGTTTTATGTGCGTTTGCGTTCGCCGAGGGCGAGAGGTTCACCCTTGGAGTCATCATGTTGGATCGATACACATCTGCATGGCGCACGGCGGATCGGACCAAAACTGGAATCCACGAGTCAAATCGGCCAGGAATGGAAGCTCCTAAGTTGACCAGGCCTCCCAAGGGCCACTGGCGAAAGCCCATGGAAGGCCGGCCAAACTTGGTGCTGGCATATCACTGACCCCTCCCGCGAACTTGACGCGACGCCCCATCACTTCCGAACTCGCCGGCCTTGAAGGCGAAGGGATCTCATTTGTTGCGCAAAGGCAAGGCGAGGTGCAGCAACAGTACTCTGGCTGATGGGGCGGCGTCGGGCCTCCCCTCCGACGAAGTGCCACTCAGCGTCTAAGGCAAGGAAAACCCGCCCACCCCTTTGGGTGACTAGCGTGTGAAATCACTTCCTCCCAAAATCCCATCGGCAGAGGACGGGCAACTCGCCTCCTGCAATGCCCAGCTAACCTCGCCCGTTTGAAAAACTGGCCCCGATTGAAAAAAAATGCCAGTGGCACAAGTAGGGTTCAAGTCTCCCCGAGTGTTCATCTGACAAGTGACACAAATTGTCGAATGGGTCATCGGCGACAGCATTGACAGGAAATCTCCGAGCCCAGAAAGGGGAGATCTCGGGCGAATTGGTTGAACCACCTCGGGTGTGGGCATCCCCGAAAACAGAATCCCGACGATGCCCCAGGCGAACAGGATTGGGACCACGTGAAATGAGGAGTTGCAAGGAGATCTCAAGCGAAACGATCAGCCCACGGCAACTGCAAACCCAGAACAGCGAGGAAACGGGATCGGATACCGTGAGGCAAGAGCATCGACTAACCCAGAATAGCGAAGATGCATCAGGCGAAGATGGCTGGACGACCTCAGGCCAGGTCGTATCCGAGCCCAGAGTTGTAACGAAGTGTGAACGAAACTAGCTGGACCAGCTCAAGTCAGGGCATACATGGGCCCTGATTTGCGAGAGTGTGTGGGGGGGGAAGCTGGATGGACCTCTCGCGTGCCTCGATCCCCACAACTGCGAGGATGTCTCAAGCCAAAAGGGCTGGACCGCCTCAGGACAGCGGCTAGGATGTCTAAACTATATGTGGGCTGGACGATCTCTCGCACGGCATCTCGAAGCCCACAATTGCAGGCATGTCTCAAGCGAGATCGACTGGACCGCCTCACAAGCGGCATCTCAAGGCCCAAAATAACAATGATGGCTTCGCCGACGCCGACCCGGACAACTTCTCGCATGGGGTCTCCTAGCTCCATCTCACCCCCCCCGCCTCTTGGGCAAGAGGTGGTCAATCACGATTACTTGTCCACCCCCATTTTTCCCCTTCCGGGATGGAGTCATCGCTGCTCCTGGATAATATTTGCCACCTCGCCCAATCCACCGACCGCTAACCCGAGTCACTGCCACCCCCAACGATTCCAACCAAAACCAAAATTTCGGGGGCGCGCAAACATGGATTAGCGATCCGTGGAATTTGGCGCGCGGTGGCCAGATCCATGGATCGGGGGAGGTGCCCTCCCCAAAATGCGGCCCGTGCCGCCTCGTTCGGCGGCGGAAATGTGCGATTTCCCATGGAAACGGGACCCGTCGCTAATCCACGCCCCCTTAATCCATGGTTGCGATCGCCTGAAAATTGGAATACCCCCAGGCGGCTCCCCCATTGCAGCTCTGAAATGCGATGCGATCCGTCAGAACCATGATCATCGGATAATCAATCATGGTTATGTAGATTCGCCACCGTGCCTCTGGGCGCGGAGTGGGCGTGCCCTCAGGTCCTTGCCATCATCCTCTCAACCTCAGTCCTCACTCCTGAGGAGTCGTTCAGGGACCCAGACCCCACATCGCGAAATCTTATCCTGGGGCTTCTCGCGGTTTCTCGCGTGACTGTTTCGGAGCGATGGGGGGCCCCAAACGGGCCAACAGAGCCCAAAGAGGCCCACGACAGCCCCAGAATGCCCCGAGACACCCAAAGATCGCCCCAAGACCGTCCAAGAGGCCTCCAAGATGCCCCAAGAGGCCTCGAAGATGCCTCCCAAGAGGACCCTGAGAGGCAAAAAACATTGAGTTGCCTTCATCGTTTGAAACATGTTGGCGTTCTCGCCTGTTTCCTTTCCGACGCTCCCAGGCGGCCCGAAATCCCCCGTACCACCCCAGGACTGCCCAAGAGGCCTCCAAGAGGGCCCGCAGACGGACCCCTCGAGCACCCCAAGACGGCCAAGGAGGCGCCCAAGACGGCCCAAAGAGGGCCCCACGACGGCCCCAAAAGTTGCCCAAGCGAGTGCAACCGAACCGAAAATCCAAGCGTTCTGCCCCAAGAGGCCCCCAGGAGGCCACAAGAGGCCCCAAGAGGCCCCAAGGGGCCCAACAGCGATCCCAAGAGGCCCCAAAACTGCCCCCAAGAGGCCTCAACACTGCATCCAAGAAGCCCCCTACAATGTCCCTCACGAAATGCCAACGAACATCCAATAGGCTTCATACCCACAACCCAGGCACAGTGGCGGGATTGGCCGAAGGCCTTTCGATAGAGAGGAGTCCGAGGTGCACCAGAGAATCATAAGTCCAGGTGAGGCTCAAGCCTGGATGTCTCACCTGAACCCGTCCTGCCGTACTCGGAAAGGCACCCCGACAACAAACAAATCCGACCTACGTCGCTCAATTGGGGTCGGCGGCAGAGGCGGCAGCCTTTAGATTTTCAAGGTGCCCTAGGGATGAACATTTCGAGCTTTCGGTCCCAAGAGGCCGCCGGGAGGCTCTAAGAGGCCCCCGGGAGGCCCCCAAGAGGCCCCAAGAGAGGCCCCAAGAGGGCCCCAAGAGGCTCCCAAGAAGCCGCCAGGAGGCCCCCAAGAGGCCCCTAAACTCCCCCGCAGAAGCCCCCGAGAGCCCTCTCGAGAGACCCCAAGAAGCGTCCCGACCCAAAACCCAAGCACGGTGGCGGGATGGGCCGATGGCCATTTGATAGCTGGCATGTGCGCCGCGTCACGACTTTCGCTGCTGCGCACCACTTCGACAAACTCCCAGGGAGCGGCGGGTGATGCGCCGCAGGCGTCCTCGATGTTTAAGCTACCCTGGGGGCTGTTGCGGCCGTCGCCACGAGGGTACACAACGCGCTCGAGGCACCCGAGCCGACCGCCAGGGGATCACAGGCCAAAAGCCGCAAGCTGCAAGGCAGAAGGCGGCCCGGCCACAGAACGCAGGACGCCGGGGCCCAGGCGAAAAGCCAGCCCAGCGAACCCGACGTAAAAATGTAGCGGATGCAGGAGCGAGTGGCACCGCCAAAGTTCAAAACAAGAAAACATCATCGTTGCCCTCTTCGGGGCACTCGGGCATTAAAAGCAACGTGACGAGCACGCGCAAACGGAGGCTGACATGTCTGGGGTCACTCGAAAGTCTGCGGCGCCATCTGGCGCATGGCATCCAGCTGTGTGACATTCCACACAAGGATGTATCGCTTCCTTGTTACAAGGCTGACAAGACGAGGTCTGTGGGCGTGAATACGTACTCCCCCAGAGGAGCGTTTTGTTCCGAACGCCGGCTGGTAGACCTGAGGCCGGCACGGAAACGGAAAGAGCGCTTCAGCAACCTGCCCGAGATGGCTCGTGGCACCCTTCGCTCTTTGCAGCCTTGGTGTTAAGAACTACTTACGTCACCGCTCTCTGTTGGGAGCCCCGGTGTTCAGAGGCTTTTACGTTGCCGCCCGTTCTTGGGCCTTGGTGTCAAGAGCTCGTTGCGTCACCGCTCGTTTCCTCCTCCTCCTCCTCCTCCTCCTCCTCCTCCTCCTCTTCCTCCTCCTCCTCCTCCTCCTTCCCCTCCTCCTGGGGCCCGCTTGGGAACCTCTCGTGGCCCTGTTGGGGTTCTCTTGGGGCCGTCTGGGAGCCCTCTTGGATCGTCTTGGGGCCCTCTTGGGCCGCCTGGGGGCCCACTTGGACCGTTTTCGGCACCTTTGCGGGGCCTCGGGGGCCGTCTTGGGACGACCTTCGGGGACTCTAGGGCCGTTGTGGGCCCGCCTGGGGGCCCTCTTGGACCGCTTGGGGGCCCTTGTGGGCCGTCTTGGGGCGCGTGGGCCGCGTCAGCCGAGCAAATACAAAGGAACAGGCCGTGGGAGCCGCCCGGGAGAGCCGCTTCAATCGGAAACGTACGGAAGACAACGGGCCAGTAGACCTTTTGCGGCCGGGCCTCGCCCCTCCTCTGCGCTCCTCCCTGGGAAGCTTCGCCCCCACTCCACGCACAGCACTCGTACCTCGCTCTTTCCGTCACCTGGGCCGGCACGGGAACGGAAAAGGGCGGACCAGGAACTTGCCGGAAATGGTTCACAGCACCCTTCGCTCTTGGGAGCCTTGGTGGTAAAAGCTTGCTACGTCACCACTCTCTGTTGGTTACGTTGCCGCTCGGTCCTGGGAGCCTTGGTGTTTGAGAGTTGTCTACGTCACCGCGCTCTGGGGAGGCTTGGTGTTCAGAGCTTGTTGCGTCACCGCTCGCTGTGAGGAACCATCGTGTTCCTTAGCGTCTCTGGGGCTTTGGGGGAATCTATTGGGGGCCCTTTGGGACCGTTTTGGGGCTTTTGGGCCCTCCCTGGGCCCGCCCAGTCTCTACGCCCAAGCAGCCCAGACCCCATACCGCCTCTCCGGGCCCGCTTGGGAGCATCTTGGGGCACCCATTGGGGCTTTGTTGGGGCCGTCTGGGGGCCCTCTTGGGGCCTTCTTGGGCCGTCTGAAGGCCCTTTTGGATCGTCTTCGGCCCCTGGGAGCCTCTGGGGCCGTCTGGGAACGATCTTTGGGGAGCATCTGGGGCCGTCTTGGGACGATATTTGGGTGCGGCCTCTTGGGCCGCCTGGGGCCGTTCTGGGATTAAAAAAGAAAACCCAAATTAGCCTGGCGAAGGACCCAACCATATGCAGTCGTGAGTGCCGCAATTGTGAATACCATCTTCGCCCGCGCTCCCTATGTGGCCACGGCTTCCCGCCGGAGCCCGACATGCTCAGGGACACGTTCGTGGCCGTCTTCGCGGGCGCCGACGAAGACAAGGACGGCGTCCTTGTCACCGAGGAGCAGAAGCAGGAGAGGGCCTTGAGAGCCATGAGGAGGTGGCGTTGCACGTCGACAAGGCGGAGTACGACGCCCAGGTGCGGTGGAGCTCCGTATGGGGCCACGATCCTCGTGAGGGGTGTGCCGAAATGGCCCGAGGCCGCCATGCGAATGCTGCCACTGGCGCATTCGGTGGAGCTCCCCATGGGGCCACGATCCTCGTGAGGGGAATGCCGAAATGGCCCGAGGCCGCCATGCGAACCCTGCCGCTGGGGGCCTTCGGTGGAGCTCCCTATGGGGCCACGATCTTCGTGATGGGTGTGCCGAAATGGCCCGAGGCCGCCATGCGAACCCTGCCACTGGGCGCCTTCGGTGGAGCTCCCTATGGGGCCACGATCCTCGTGAGGGGTGTGCCGAAATAGCCGGAGGCCGCCACGCGAACCCTGCCAGTGGCGCATTCGGTGGAGCTCCCGATGTGGCCACGATCTTCGTGAGGGGTGTGCCGACATGGCCCGAGGCCGCCATGCGAATGCTGCCACTGGCGCATTCGGTGGAGCTCCCCATGGGGCCACGATCCTCGTGAGGGGTGTGCCGAAATGGCCCGAGGCCGCCATGCGAACGCTGCCACTGGAGCCTTCGGTGGAGCTCCCTATGGGGCCACGATCCTCGTGAGGGGTGTGTGAAATGGCCCGAGGCCGCCATGCGAACCCTGCCAATGGAGCCTTCGGAGGAGCTCCCCACGGGGCCACGATCGTCGTGAGGGGTGTGCCGAAATGGCCCGAGGCCGCCATGCGCACCCTGCCACCGGGGCCTTCGGTGGAGCTCCGTATGGGGCCACGAAGCGCTGTACTGGGTGGGTGAAACGCAGGGAGGAGGGAGGAGGAAAAGGAGGAGGGGGGAGGGGACACGGGAGGAGGAGGTGACGCGGGGCGCTGTCTCTTCAAAACGAGGACCCAAGACCACAGGAGGGTTTGGAATGATGATGACGGGAAGGGGGAGGAGGGGGAGGAGGAGAGGAGAGGATGAGGATGAGGATGAGTATGAGGATGAGGAGGAGAAGGAGAAGGAGGAGGAGGAGGAGGAGGAGAAGGAGGAGGAGGAGGAAGAACGCGGGGCGACGTCTCTTCAAAACGAGGACCCAACACCGCAGGATGGTTGGGAAAAGCTTGCAGAACCCAAACGGGTAATCAAAGTTTTTGGCCTCCTGAGGCCCTCTCGAGGGCCCTCTCGAGTGCCTCTGGAGCCGTCCCGATGCTCTCTTGGACCGTCTGGCGGCCATCTGAAGCTCTCTTGGGGCCGTCTTGGGGCCCTCTGAAGCCCTTCTGAGGCCCTCTTGAGCCGTCTTGGGGCCCTCTGGCCGATTCACCAGACAAAAATACAAACAGACAGGCTATGGGAGCCGCTTCGCTTGAAAAATTAGCCTGGCGAAGGACCCAACCATATGCAGTTGTGAATGCCGCAATTGTGAATACCATCTTCGACCGCGCTCCCAATGTGGCCACGGCTTCCCGCCGGAGCCCGACATGCTCAGGGACACGTTCGTGGCCGTCTTCGCGGGCGCCGACGACGACAAGGACGGCGTCCCTCTCACCGAGGAGCAGAAGCAGGAGATGGCCTTGAGAGCCATGAAGGAGGAGGTGGCGTTGCACGTCGACAAGGCGGAGTACGACGCCCCTGCCACGATGGGGCCACGATCCTCGTGTGGAATGTGCCTGTGACGATCCTTCACGATTTTGCACCTCAACTATGGGGCCACGATCCTCGTGAGGGATGTGCCGCAGTGGCCCGAGGCCGCCATGCGAACCCTGCGATTGGGGGCCTTCGGTGGAGCTCCCTATGGGGCCACGATCCTCGTGAGGGGTGTGCCGAAATGGCCCGAGGCCGCCATGCGAAACCTGCCACTGGCGCCTTCGGTGGAGCTCCCTATGGGGCCACGATCCTCGTGAGGGGTGTGCCGAAATGGCCCGAGGCCGCCATGCGAACCCTGCCACTGGGGGCCTTCGGTGGAGCTCCCGATCCTCGTGAGGGGGTGAAATGCCGAACCCTGCCATGGCCCGATGGGGCCGCCATGGCCCGAGGCCGCCATGTGAACCCTGCCACTGGCGCCTTCGGTGGAGCTCCCTATGTGGCCACGATCCTCGTGAGGGGTGTGCCGAAATGGCCTGAGGCCGCCATGCGAACCCAGCCACTGGCGCCTTCGGTGAAGCTCCCTTATGGGGCCACGATCCTCGTGAGGGGTGTGCCGAAATGGCCCGAGGCCGCCATGCGAATGCTGCCACTGGCGCATTCGGTGGAGCTCCCCATGGGGCCACGATCCTCGTGAGGGGTGTGCCGAAATGGCCCGAGGCCGCCATGCGAACGCTGCCACTGGAGCCTTCGGTGGAGCTCCCTATGGAGCCACGATCCTCGTGAGGGGTGTGCCGAAATGGCCCGAGACCGCCATGCGAACGCTGCCACTGGGGCGTTCGGTGGAGCTCCCTATGGGGCCACGAAGCGTTGCACTGGGTGGGTGAACCGCAGGCAGGAGGGAGGAGTGACGGGAGGGGGGAGGAGGGGGAGTTGGAGAGGAGAGGAGGAGGAGGAGGAGGAGGAGGAGGAGGAGGAGGAGGAGGAGGAGGACGAGGAGGAGGAGGAGGCGGAGGAGAACGCGGGGCGCTGTCTCTTCAAAACGAGGACCCAACACCACAGGATGGTTAGGAAATACGAAAGAAAACTGGCCAGTAGACCAGTGTCTTCGGCCTTGCCCCATCCCCCGGACCCCCTCCCAAAAGGGCTTCGCCCCCTACGAACGTCCCAAGCTCGTACCTCGCTCTGTCCGTCACCTGGCTCTGCGTGAAACCTGGCAGCTGCGTGAAACCTGGCAGCTGCGTTCCAGACGTCAGCGGGTTGCGACGCGGGCTCGTCAGATCCGACGGCGCATGCGAGGTCGAGCTGGACCAGCAAGCAACTGAAAATGTGGCTGACCAGGACGGCTACTTCTCTGTGCACGTTTCCCCCCGAAAATGCGGTCGGGGACAAAATCTTCTTGTTCTCATCGGCCGATCCGCCGACGCCGCCTCAAATAACGAAGCGCACCGACCAGTTGCGCCAGGCCCTGGCGGTAACCCAAGTCGTCTGCGCAGCCAAGTAGCAGCTGCTGCCGCAAATGCCATCAGATACAAAGACGATGTCCTCGAAGGGGTGCGCAATAATGGCTCCCAGACCCAGACGTAGACCTGGGCGGTGAAGTTCCTGATGTATTCGCCACGCTGCTCCAGGCGAGGATGCTGGTATGCAGTAGAATACTGCACATCACCGTGGACGATTTTGTTTTCGCTCAAGATAGCCCTACATGTCTCAAGATAGCTAACAACATGCCTCCAAGAGGCCCCAAAAGTGGCCCGACACACTTGAAACAATGACAAATCGTCAGCTTCCCAACTGATTGGAAGGGGACTCCTCGATGCTACAGCGTCGCACCGAGGCCGGCACAGCCAAGGCAGGTCGGCGAGAACGTGTGGAGGAGGAAGACGAGACGACGACGACGAGGACGCCAAGCGGACAGGCCACGAGGCCAGGAAAGGCGAGAAAGACGAGGGACACGAAGAGGAACGACGAGAGGGGGAATGTCGGCTCATGAGAGCCCGGAGGCCGCAGAACGGCCACAGGGCGCGGAGGAAGAAGCCGCGCGCCAGTAGCCGCGGCCCGCCCACGCGGCCCGCGGCACGCTGCGCGCTTCCATGCCTCGGACCAGGCACGCGGGAGGGAACGGAGGTGGAGGGGGGGAAAGGAGGAGAGGAGGGGGGAAAGGAGGAGGGGGGAAAGGAGGAGGGGGGAAAGGAGGAGAGGAGGAGGGGGAAATGAGGAGGAGGGGGGAAAGGAGGAGAGGAGGAGGAGGGGGGAAAGGAGGACAGGAGGAGGGAGGGAACCGAGAGGGGGGGGGAAAGGGGGAGGAGGGAGGGGGGGACGGCGCGCGCTCGTCATGCGCTGACCGCAAGGAGGCCCCGCGGGGGACACTCAGCAGACGGGCAGAAGGCGGACGCGCGGCCTCCAGACCCAAGAGGGAGGAGGGAGGAGGAGGGAGGAGGAGGAGGAGGAGGAGGAGGAGGAGGAGGAGGAGAGGAGGAGGAGGAGGGAGGAGGGAGGGAGGGAGGAGGGAGGAGGGAGGAGGGGATAGGGAGGAGGAGGAGGAGGAGGAGGGAGGAGGAGGAGGAGAGGAGGAGGAGGAGGAGGAGGAGAGGAGGAGGAGCGAGGAGGAGGGAGGAGGAGGAGGAGGAGGAGGAGGAGGAGGAGGAGGAGGAGGAGGAGGAGGAGGAGGAGGAGGAGAGAGGAGAGAGGAGGGGGCGGCAAGCAGGCAAGCAGGCGAAGGAGGAGGAGGAGGAGGAGGAGGAGGAGGAGGAGGAGGAGGAGAGGGGAGGGAGTCTCTGCAGGCGCCGTTCAGATTGTCTGTCGTGTGCTCTACGAGCTGTCCGAACTCTCCAAACCTGTGCGGCCACTTGGGCGCGCATTGTCGACCAGGCAAGCGAAATCCGCGCAGATGCCTTGCAGGCGGGAAGGAGCGAGAACGGCCCTCCAACTCCATGGCGCGCTCCCCCTTCCCTCGAACTCCACGCTGATGCTACCAGGATCTATGCCGTCACAAGATATGCCGCTTGTCGTGTCGTTAATGCGGTCCACAATTTGGTAAATGCGCCCCCCAAGGCACCAGGCACAGTACCTATCGGCGCCAAAGGTTGGAGACGAGGCGATACTCTCTGTCTACCACCGCAGGGTGGCTGCTGGTCGATGCGCGTGATGACGCTGCCATGTTAGGCTCTGTCATCCTCGGTTTGATTTGATGAAGCCCGGCAATCATATTCTGGTGGCGGCACGGGATCTATCGGTCGAGCACTTGAGCCAAAGGCGGGTGATCCAACAAAGCGGGCAATATCAACGCACGTGCAACTGACGAGATCCCTATCACATCCCAACAACCATTCGCGGCTTACAAAGGCCAAGGTGGCCTGGGTGGCATCCACGACTGCGGACATTGCCGCCGAAGCTGACGGAATTGCCCTGCATGGCCCCCGCGACGGTCCAAGATGCCCTCGATGACGGCCGCAGTGGCTCCCAAGACGGGCCAAGAGGCCCTCAAGACGCCCCACCAAGAGGACCCCCCCAGGAGGGCCCGAAGATGCCCGAACCATGCCTTGCCTCAATGTGTTCGAAAAAGCGTCTAGCGCTGGCGCCTCGTCGGGCTTCCGAACCCTTCAGGCTGCCCACGGGACCCTGTCAAAGGGCCCCCAGACGGCGCAAGAGGGCCCCAAGATGACACCAAAGGCCCCCAAGACTGCCGCAAGGCGGCCCAAGAGACCTCCACGACGGCGCCAAACATGCCCCGGGAAGGCCCCAGGACGGCCTGGGGAGACCCCCGAGACGGCCTCCGAAGGCGTCAGACGGGCAAAAAGCACCCTGAGACAGCCCAAGAGAGTTTCAAGAGACACCGAGAGGCCCACCATTCTGGTCCCCCCCGCGGGCGGCCGACTGAGCGCAGTGGCGGAACCGCGAGGCAGCGCAAACGTTACCGCTGGCGCTGTCCCGCACAAACTCCAACGCCGCCCACAGTATAGCTGCCATTGCAACTACATAGCCTGCTGTCGCAAGAGCAGTGGCCGCCATCGCCACCATGGCATGCTGCATACTACTGTTGTTGCTGACAGCTCTTCCTGCTACTGCTGCTGCTGCTACCAATTCTTGCGACTGCCACCTGCGGCTGCCACTACCACCTACAAACAAAAATCTGCAATTCATGCTACAACGAACGCTACGACTGGAACTACTAGTCATACCAAACTGCCGGACGGGTTTCAAGCCGGGGACATTGCTAACGGCATGACTCTCAGTCTGGACGGGTGCTGACTGATGATGGACCGCGCAAAGAGCTAGATCTGGAGAGGGAAGAAGGAGAGGGGGAGGGGGGGGAGAGAGAGAGAGAGAGAGAAAGAAAGAAAGAAAGAAAGAGAGACTGAGACTGAGACTGAGAGAGAGAGGGAGCTCACCAGCAAGAGGTAAGATACGGAGAAACTGCAAGAAGGCGGCATACGGGCTGGCATGAACCTGGAACCCATCGAATGTTCCACAGACTTCTCAAAGCTAGTCCATATTATATAAGTGGGCCCGGATGTCCATTTGCGCGTTTGTGCCTGGCAGGTCATGTGGTCTCGAAAACTCCTGCATGCTCCTCAGATTCGCAGAAGCTTGTAGTCCCGATCTTCGTAATGTAGCTGGGATGCGTACATGCTGGCATGATCATCATGTGTCTGTCCTACGGCTGCTTTCATCCTACTGATTCCTGCGAGCTCCTGTAGACTCGTATATCTTGTCAGAAGTATTAGCCTGGCGCAGGGCGTGACTATCTCTTCATATTCTGTGCGCCACGGGGCAATGCGGACTGTGGGAAGCAAGCGCGCAGAAACGCGCTGAACCGTATGAGACATGACCCGTGTGAGGGGGTACCCGTTTTGTTGTTGCCCCATACATGGCCGACCAACAGAACACGTTTTCGCGCGTCTTTCTAGCCAATGTCCAGGCAACTCCACGGAAGCGTCGACGGCAAAGCTGGAGAGAAGTGAGCAGAGTGTGATCATGCGCGGCATGGCAAGATTCAAGGGGCCCAAGGACACACAAATAAATACACACAAATAAAATGATTCCCCATATTTTCCAATATTTTCTGGGTTTTTGTCTTCCCCCCCACTTCCCATATTTTCCAATATTTTCCTGGGAGTCGACGATTAATTGTGTCTGTGTGTTTTTGTCCCCTCCTGAAAGATGGTGCTCGAAGGTGGCATCTGTCACGAAGGATGTGCCCAAGGGCCCGTCCACCCTGGCGGAGCGGCAGGAGTTTGAAGGGGCCCCAGGACACACAAATAAATACACACAAATAAACATTTTCCCCATATTTTCCCATATTTTCTGGGTTTCTGTCTTCCCCACCACTTCCCACATTTTCCCATATTTTCTGGGGAATCGAGGATTAATTGTGTCTGTGTGTTTCTTTTCCTCCTGAGAGTTGGAGGCGTGCTTGCCAGCATTTGCCGTCACGCGCCCTGGAGGCTTTCGATTAAGCAGCACCGGGTACATGAGGCAGCCGCGCCAGGCCTGCGATGGTAAACTAGGGGGCAAACAAACCTACCTCGCGTTTGACCACCCTCGCTTCCAAGAGATACCAAGCGATGCCAAATTGCAGCCTGTACTGATCAGGCCGCTTGACGAGGAGGCGCGTGGTATGGCTTGGTTTTGCCTGGAAGCGAAAGCGGGGTAGGTAATTTCACGCTCTGAGATCAAGCAGCACCGGGTACACGAGGCAGCCGCGCCAGGCCTGCGATGGTAAACGGCAGCAAGGGATCGCACAGCTTTCACATCCCCATCACGCCGGAAACGGGCAGGGGGAGGGGCCGAAAGGGGCGGGCAGCCTCGTGCGAACGCGCCCACCCGAAGCCGCAGGCAGAGCTCTCTGCGTACGGCACGACCCCCCCACGAGGGGGGCGCCGCATCGGGCGTGGGCCCCCCCGGCGCCACGGCGCCCACCGAGCACGCAGGTGCACCTCCCTGTGGGACACGGGCCGCGAAGCGGGTGCGCCGACAGGGGCGGGGGGACGCCATTCTCGGGTCGGGCGGAAGGGGGGGATAGCAAAGGGGGGGTTTGAGAATCAGCTCGCGTAGCTGATTTTCCCGGCGCCTCCCGGCGCCGGGAGGCGCCCATGTATCGAGGAATGGGCCCCTCGGTGAGGCCGAAACCAGCTGCATGCAGCAAATTTCGTAACCCCCCCTTTCCCAATCCCCCCCTTTCGCCCGGCCCGACATTCGAGCTTGCCCGTTGGGTGCCACGTGGAGCTGCCGGCGGGGGCACGCTCCGCCCGAACAGGATGCTCACGTCTGCGCACCCACTCTTGGGCGGTCGACGAAGGCCCCTGTTCGGCACCGTCCGTCTGAGAGAGGCGCTGCGAGGTGGGCCAGGAGGGGCATGCGGATCCCGTCTCTGGGGCGGGGGGGGGGTCGGCATGCGCGCCCCGCCTCGGGGGCCGTCGGCGGAACTCTTTTGTGTGCCCGATCCTGGCAATTGTTAGGTCGGTCGCGTCCCCCTGCATGGGGATTTTGGATGCAAAAAAAATCCGCCGATCCGGCGTGCGAGTTGGAGAAAGCCTCAGCTACAGCCTACAGCCTACAGCCTGAGCTTCAGCTCTGCTGGGGGGGGGGCGGGGGGGGGCTCTGCCGGGGGAAAGGGGGGATGGGTTGTGCTCCGTTTTCCGGGGGGGGCTCCGAGGGCTTGTCGCGGCTACCCGCGCGTCTCTGGGGAGGGCATTTTTTGATACCCCTCACCAGGATCGTGGCCTCCGAGGTGGTCCCGAACTCGAGTACCCCCCCTCTCGCCCCAAGAAGCTCCCAAGAGGCCCCAAGAAGCTCCAAAGAGGCCCCCAAAAAGCTCCAAGAGGCTCCAACGAGGCCTCCAAGAGGCCCCAAAGTGGCCCCAAGAAGCCCCGCAACTGCCTTAGAGGCCCGGGGGGGCCTCAAAACTGCCTCCCAGAGGCCTCGAAGATGCCAACCACGAGATCCCAACCAACATCCATGAGGCCTCTGACCCACCACCCACACAGGCACGGTGGCGGGATAGGCCGAAGACCAGTGGCCTTCTTAGGCCGATAGGCCAAAAGGGGGCGGCGGATCTAGTGGCACTAGATCCGCCACCCCCTTTTGCTTTAGCAAAGGGGTGCCTGGCGTGCCAAACTATAGGGGTTTTGGTTTTGGTTCTATTGCCAAAAGAACTCTCCCAATGGGTTTCGGCCCGACCCGCCGGTCACTCTTAGATCGCCCAATTCCCGGAAAAATCCTCCTAGACGGCTCAAGATGGCCTCCAAGATGGCCACGTTGGCCCGAGATGGCCTCCACGATGGTCCAAGATGGCCTCCAAGTCCGCCCAAGATGGTCCAAGACGGCCTCTAAGATGGGCCAAGAGAGTCCAAGACGGCCCAAGAGGGCCCCCCCACCAGACGGCCCAAGAGGCCTCCAAGAGGTCCTCCAGGAGGCCCCGAAGATACCAAAATCAGTGATGCTTCTTAGGTTTTTGAAGGAGTTGGGAATTTGCTTCTTCTCGGCATTCCGACGGTTCGAGACGGCCCAAGAGGCCCCCAAAATCGCCCAAGAGGCCCCCACGAGGGCATCATGACGGCCCAAGTGGCCTCCAAGACGCCCAAGATGGCCTCCAAGACGCCCAAGATGGCCTCCAAGACGGCCCTGGAGCATTCCAAGAGGGTCCCCCGTTGGCCCAGAAAGGCCCCCAAGACGGCTCCCGACGGCGTCAGACGTGCCAGGAACCCACCAGGATGGCCGAAGTTGGCTCGAAGCTGGCCCAAGACGGCCCAAGAGGCCAAAAACATGGATGTTCCTGAGGTTTTTGACGGATGTTGGCATGTGTGCGAGGTGCAGGTGGGCTCGCAGGCAGTCTGAATGCCCAGGGGACATCACCAGCTCAGTCCTCGAGTTCAACCACCAGCTCCAGAAGAAGCATGCGCTTGTGAAGCTGTGGACGCTCAAGGAGGCGGACCTCACGAAGGATACGCCATTCATCATGTGCACGGTCTGTGGCACGGTGGCTACGTGCAGGCCGTCGACCTTCAACACGGAGTGTGGGCAAGCTGGCTCGAAGGGCAAACTGGCGCTGGCGAGGTTGGCGAAGGGTATGGCCCCCGCAGTGTCCGCGAGGGTGCCAGTTCGTGTCACTCGACTGGAGCCAGTACTTTGCGAGCCTGGCGATGGTCCAAGAGAGCCTGGTGAGTTCGGCGTCGACACGGCCTCGGCGTCGGGCGCCGCGGCTGGAACGGGCGCTGGCCCCGCTCATCTGCCCCCCCAGAGCGCCCCTGGGATTGAGACGGGCTTGAGCGGGGCCGTGCGCCAGGCGGGCGCCGCTGCCAAGACGGCCGAACATGGCCCTAAGATGGCCCAAGACGGCCCAAGAGGCCTCCAAGAGGGCCTCCAGGAAGGCCCGAAAAGGCCAAAATCATTGATTTGCCATGGGTTCTTGAAGGATTGTGGCATTTGTTTTTTTTTCTGCCTTCCGACGACCCGAGATGGCCCAAATGCCCACAAAGATCGCCCAAGAGGCCCAAGACACGGCCCCAAGAGGCCCCAAGAGGTCTCCAAGACGCTCAAGATAGCTCCCAAGACGGCCCAAGAGCCCTCCAAGACGTCCTCCAAAAAGGCCCGAAAGGGTCAGAATGGCCTCCAGACGGCCAAGATGACCTTCAAGATGCCCACGTGTTCCCCGAAGGCTCCCCAAACCGATTCGGGGAACACGTGGTCCGATAGCTTGGCAGGCCTCTGGCCACAACCTTCGGCCACATAGGCGCTTCCAAAAAGGCAGGGGGCGGCGGTGATTCGCCGTAGGCGTCTTCGATCCGCCGCCCCCTGTCGATTCATCGCAGGGGGGCCTGGCGTGCTGAACCCTCTAGGTTTTGGTTTTGGTTCTTTGTCCAAAAGAACTCCCCCTGGGGCTTCGGCCCGTCCCGCCGGCCACCCGGAACGCGCTCAATTCCCCAATATCGTAGGCTTGTTCGCTCAAGATGACCGAAGATGGCCTCCAAGATGCCTCCAAGACGGCCAAGATGGCCTCCAAGGCGGCTAAGATGGCCCCAAGATGCCTCCAAGACGGCCCAAGATGCACCCAAGACCGCCTAAGATGGCCTCAAGATACCCAAAACGGCCCAAGAGGCTCCCAAGAGGCCTCCAAGATGGCCCAAGATGCACCCAAGTGAGGCCTCCAAGACGAGCCGAAGAGGCCTCCAAGAGGTCCTCCAGGAAGGCCCGAAGAGGCCAAAATCATTGGTTTCCCTTTGGTGTTTGGAGGATGTGCGCATTTTCGGATTTCCGACGGCCCAAGACGGCCAAAGAGGCCCCCAAAGTCGTCTCAAGATCGCCCAAGAGGCCTCCAAGATGGCCCCATGACGGCCCAAGAGGTCCCCAAAACGGCCCCAAGACGGCCCAAGAGGCCTCGAAGACGAACTGGTCCCCCCTGCCATCGAGGATGGCCGACCAGAGGCGCTGCAATCAGGACGCAAAGTTTACCTGCGGCGACTGCGGCAAGGTCCTCCTCAAGTCGACCAAATCGACCTGGGAGGGCGACGAGACTGGAGAACTCCTGGCGCAGAACCGCCCACAGGCGTACCTCTCCTGTAAGAACTGCAGGTGGCTGTGAAAAGGGCTGCTGGGCCACCTGCGTGGAAAGACGTGGGAACGGAGGCGGCATGCGCACCCCGTCATCTGGGGCCGTGTGCGAGGCTGCCTATGAAACACGATGCGTACAGTCGGGCTTGATTGGACAGGACACGCGAGAGGACACACGACCCTCCCGAGGGCCACATCGCCATAGGAGTGTCAGAAGGCGCGCGTCGCGAGGCACAACATACACAGGTACCCTTGAGCTGGCAAGGTCGACCTACTAATCCGGGCCGCCTGTATCAGGGGGACGTAAGACCTGGGTACAGGGGACTCGGAAATACCCGACGAGGTCGTCAAAAAAATGACGAGGCCGAGCCTGCATTTTGACGAGGCCTCCCGCTGCAGACATCCAACGAAACTCCTCCTCGTCAAAATCCGAGGCGCGGAACCCGAGTCCTGGCAAACCCGGGTCTTACGCTCCCGCGACTGTAGGATGGATGTGCCGAAACTTAGACAAGCGCGTGCCACTGCTCGCAAAGCCAACTGCTCGCCAGTGGCCGGGAGCCGCCGCCGGGGGGGTCCACGATCCGTTACATTGGAGCGGACCACCCGCTTTTCGGACGTTTGCGAGTAGGCACTCTGCGAGCAGTGGAACGCGCTCGGCGACCGCCTCTGGGGCCGTGTGCGGAGCTGCCTCTGAAACACGGCGCGCAGGATGGGCGTGCCGAAACTGGTGGGGCCGCGGCGTGCGCACCCCCGTCTCCGGGGCCGCGGACGGGCCCTCACGCCCGGCACGATCCGTGCATATGGGGTGCCGAAGTGGGAGGGGGGGGGCGGGCGGCACGCGCACCCCGTCCTCTGGGGCCGCGCGTGGGGCTTCCTGCGGGGCACGAGCTGCGGACGCGTGTACTCCTCCTCCTCCTCCTCCTCCGCCTCCTCCTCCTCCTCGTCCTCCTCCTCCTCCTCCTCCTCCTCCTCCTCCTCCTCCTCCTTCTCCGCCTCCTCC